GGGGGGGGGCTGGGAGGTCAATGCCAGAGTGGACAAAGACAATCTAAACTACCCACTATTTATTGGGTGCACACAGTAATCTGAGAGATTATCAGATGAGTCAGAGGGTAGCAGTAATCTTATGCTGATGAGGATCTTAGGTTGATGAGGACTGTGAGATGGGCAGAGCATTCTTACAGTAGTAGGTGGGATGAGATAGCAGGTTAAAAAGGAATTTGTCCTTCCCTCAGGTGAAACTTTTCTTTTTTTTTCTTATTACTACTGGTTCCTCAAGGAACCAGGATATTTTAAGATGATGTAATCTTGCCCTTGAGCGTCACAGTATCATGGAACTATTGAGGCCTCAGCTGTGACTGGAGGCACATGGAGTTATGGTTCTGTTTCTGCATACCATAGCCAGCTCACATGGGAAAGACACTAGACCTCAGACAACCCTAATCACAATTTATGAAATGATTTTTCTCCAAAAATTATATAGAAAGCTCTCAACAAGAATTTATAGCTAGGTATGGTGGCACACGCCTATAATCCCAGCACAGGGAAGGCTGGACAGGAAGATTGCCATGAGTTCCAGGCCAGCCTGGGCTACATAATGAGTTAAATGCTATTTTGAACTACATAGTGAGACCTTGTCTCAAAAAAACAAACGAATAAAAAAACTGTAAAAAACATTTTTTCTTGTACCTAGGTAATAATTATTATATAGCTATTTTACAAATGAGGAAACTGACCCAGAGAGAATAATATGACCAAACTCTTACAACTGTTATGCCTTAGAAAGGAGACTTGAATTTACAATTGCTCTTGTTTTGTTTGCTGTGCTGAGATGCCAGGCCTGGTGGTACATGATTGTAATCCCAGCACTCAGGAGGCTGAGGCAGGAGAATCTCAAGTTGGAGGCCAGCCTGGACTAAATAGTGAGTTTAAAGCTATCTTGGATTATATATTTAGACTCTGTCTCAAAAGAAAGAAAGAAAGAAAGAAAGAAAGAAAGAAAGAAAGAAAGAAAGAAAGAAAGAAAGAAAGAAAGAAAAAACAAATACAAAGGCTTGGCGAGTAGATATGGTGGTATGTACCTACGGTCTAGCTACTCAGAATGCTCAGGTAGGAGGGTCATTTGAGCCCAGGAGTTCAGGGCTAGCCTGGGCAACATAGTGAGACCCTGTGTGAAATAAGAACAAAAACTTACTAGGGAGCTCGGCATGGTTGAACGCCTATTATCCCAGCACTGGGGAGGGTGAAGCAAGATTATCACCACAAATTTGAGTCTACCCTAGGCTACATAGTTCAAGTTCAAGGCCAGCCTAAATAGTGAGACCCTATCTCAAACAAATAAACCAAAATAACGAAAAACAAACAAAAGAAAACAAACAAAAACCCTTACTAGGTATGTAGTTATATAAATTCCCAGAAGACTCAGGGTACTGTGCTTTGATCAGGAAAGACTTCACAGAAGAGGTACTGCCGAAGTATTGTTTTGGATAATAAACTAGAGTTTTCCAAGTGGATAAGGAGGAGAAGATCATTCCAGTTTCAGGCAACAGCATATATGAAAACATGATATGAAACCATGGGAGAGATGGGCATGGTGGCATATTCCTGCAATCCTAGTATTCTTGAGAGGCTAAAGGTAAGAGGATCTCAAGTTCATGCCCAGCCCGGACAACTTTGACTTATCAAGACCCTGTCTCAAAAAAAAAAAAAAAAAAAAATTAAAAAGTGCTGGGGATGTAGCTCAGTTGTATGGCCTGGGTTTAGTCCCTACTACTGCAAAACCAAACCAAAGTAGTGCAGAGAACTATACATAGTTGGGATTGTTAGAATATAAAAAGTAAAGTAAAAGATTGTAAAAGATGAGGCTAGAGAGGTGGATTAGCCAGATAATGGAAGTCTCTGTATACTAGGCTAAAGATCCTGAACTTTATCCTGTAGATTATCAAGAGCTGTGGAATTTTGTTGTTGTTTTTCTTAAATAAAAAAATGAATTGTACTTGCTAGTTCAGACTGGGAGCAATATGGAAGAGTGACTGGGAAAAACCCAAGGAAAGAACATTCAGGTTAGCTAGTCTCTGGAGAAGCTTTTTTCTGTGTGAGTCTCATGACCCTTTTAAATTACCTGCTAATGTAACAAAGCATTTCACTATGGTAATGGCAGCTCACTTTGAAGTGATGTGTCTCTGTGAAGCATAAGCTATGTGATATTTTCCCCTGACTTGGCATGTATCTTCATCAATAACCAGCACCACTACTAAAATTTCACTTTACAACAAAAGATGAGGAATTTTATATTTGCATCTTTGAGATTGGACTAATTGGAGACTAAGAAAACATTGAGGTGAGATCTAGGAATATTAACAAAAGGAAAAGAGGAAGGAATAACTGAGGAGTTTCTTATTATACCCAGTATGTGCTTGCTGTCAAGTAGCCAGAGTGACTTCAAGTAAAGGTCATTGGGATGTAGAGAATGAGGGAAGGAGAAAGGAAGAAGAAATTGAATAGTTTAGAAAGAAGGGAAGAAAAAAGAGGTAAGAGATAGGACTTTAATGATAGCACTCAAAACTTTAGCCAGAGCAATCAGGCAAGAGAAAGAAATAAAAGGGAAACAGGAAGAAATCAAACTCTCCTTATTTGGAGATGGACATGATCCTTTACATAGAAGACCCAAAAAAACTCCCCCAGTAGACCCTTTAGAACTAGTAAACATAGCCAGGCATGCTGGTACATCCGTGCACTCTAGGAAGCTAAGGCAGGAGGATTGCAAGTTCAAGCCCCATCTGGACAAGTAAGAGACTTAGTGAGACCTTGTTTCAAAATACAACAGTTTAAAAAGGCTAGCAATGTAGCTCAGATTGCCCTGGGAATTCCCCCATACAGCCAAACAACACCCCCAAAACAAAACAAATCAAACAAAACATGAAATCCTAATAAATTCAGTAAATGGAAGGACACAAAATCAACACACAAAAATCATTAGTATTCCTGTGTACCAACAATGAAATTACCAAGAAAGAAATCAGAAAAGGGCTAGGGATTTAGCTCAGTGGTGTTGCCACCTGCCTCACAAGTGCAAGGTCCCGAGTTCAATCCTTGGTACCAAAAAAAAAAAAAAAAAATCAGAACAGTCTCATTCACAATAGCTTTCAAAAAAATTAAATACCTCAGGATTAACCAAGGAAGTGAAAGAGCTATATAATAAAAACTATAGTGCTCTGAAAAAAGAAATTGAAGAGAACATTAGAAAATGGAAAAAAGATATCTCTTGTTCCTGGAAAGGCAGAACCAAAATTTCAAAATAGCTGTATTACCAAAAATGATAAATAGATTTAATGAAATTCCAATCAAAATACCAATAGCATTCATCACAGAACTAGAAAATACTTAAGTTTACATGGAACCAGAAGAGACACATAATAGCCAAATCAATCCTGAGAAAAAAAGAGCAAAGCAGGGAAGCATTATAATCCCAGATTTGAAGTTATATTACAAAGCTACAAAAATAAAAACAACACAGTACTGGCACAAAAATAGCTAAGTTGACCAATGGAATAGAATTGAGGATGCAGAAACAACCCCATGCACTTTCAGCCATCTGATCTTTGACAAAGGGCCAAAAACATATGCTGGAGAATCCAGAATGCAGAAAAAAAAATTGCCAGTTACTCCTTGGACAGAGGACTAGTATCTAGGATTTATAAAGAACTCATAAAAATTAGAACCCTCCCCAAATAAAATACCTGGTCAAAACTGGGTATTGTAATCACTTTCTTGTTGTTGAGATGCAATACCCAACACCCACAACTTCAAGGAGGAAAGGTTTATTTTGGCTCACAGTTTGTAGAGGCTTCAGTCCATAGTCAGCATGCTCCAAGATAGGGCAGCATGGTAGAGGAGCATGCAGAGGGACAAACAGCTCATGGTGTGGCAGGTAGGAAGCAGAGGGAAGGATCAAAGGGGAAAGGAAGGAGATAGATCCAGACCATGCTCCCAGTGACCTACCTTCTCCAACCAGGCTTTACCTTCTAACTCAGATTTAGCTATAAACTCATCATTGAACTAATCTGTGATGCTTTTTTTTTTGGTACTGCGGATCGAACTCAGGTCTTTGCACTTGGGTAGCAGGCAGTGAAACCACTGAGCTAAATCCCCGGCACCTCAATCATTGAACTAATCAACTAATGAATATCACACCCGCATGATCCAGTCACCTTCTCAAATCTCTGAGGCTTTAGAAAGCATCTAGATATAAGCCATAATAATGTTCAGCATCTTTGGTCATTAGAGAAATGAAAATCAAAACTACACTGAAATTCTATCTTATGCTAGTAAGAATGACTATTTTCAAGGACTCAAAAAACAGCAAGTTTGGCAAGGTTGTGGGGAAAAAGGAAGCTTTCTACATTGTTGGTGATAATGCAAATTAGTACAACCAGTATGGAAATCAGATTCCTCAAAAAACTAAAAATAGAGCCAGGCATGGTGGCACATGTCTGTAATCCCAGCACTCGGGAGGCTGAGGCAGGAGGATCACTGCAAGTTCAAGGCTAGCCTAAGCTACATAGAGAGTTCAAAGACAGCCTGAACTACAATAGTGAGTCCCTGTCTCAAAAAAATAAAACAACAGGGCCGGGGGCTGGGGATTTAGCTCAGTGGTTCTGCCGCCTGCCTTGTAAGTGCAAGGTCCCAAGTTCGATCCCTGGTACCAAACAAACAAACAAAAAAAGAAATCTCATTTGACCCAGTTATTCCTCTTCTAAGTATTTTTCTGAGAGTTAAAGTCATCATATTACAATGATATATGCATACCCACGTTTACAGCAGCATAATTCACACTGGCTAAATTATGGACATAGCTTGTAGTCCCATCAATGGATGAATGGTTAAAAGAAAGTGTGGTATTATTACAATTATTACTACTTAGCCATAAAGAAGTGTAAATTTGAATCATTTGTGGGAAAATGGGTGAATCTTGAGACTATGATGCTTAGCAAAATAAATAAGGCACAAAAGGATAAATACTGCATAGTTTCTTTTATATGAGAAACCCAGAATAATTTAAAGAGCAAAATAAAAGAGAAGCAGTAGGAAACAGGGAAGTAGACTTTGTGGAGATGGGAAGGGAATGTAGGAATGAGAGAAAAGGAGGAGAGGAGAGGAAGTAAAAATGATCAAGATGGAACAGCATGTACAGTATATGTACTAATACTCCATGATTAATGTAATTATTATGTGTTGTAAAGCTCACCAAAAAAAACCCATTGATATTCTTGTACTTTTACCAATACCCTTATAAATGTACTCCAGCACTACTGTTGGGTATTAAGAATTATCCCTTCTGACTCATGAAAGAAAACTGGGAATTCTTTTTAAAAAGACAGGGAGATGAATTGAGGCAAAGTGTGAAAGCCTTACTTATATTCAACCTATTAGTTTAGAAATACTGATTTAGAGATCAGAGCTTAAGTTGATGTCCTTTTATAACAATATTCTAACTTTAGGAAGAACCCTTTTCTGCTCTCCCTGGGCTTCTTAACTATTACATGGTAATAGGAATATCTTACCTCATACTGAGGAGAACCAAACATTTTTTCCCCTTTTCTCCCAGAGAAATGTGCCATTTGTGGAACTCCCTGCAAGCATCTGACTCTTTCTGACAATGTAAGTTTCCCCCCTGCCACAATTTTATCTCATTCCTGGAGCCTAGGAAGCATACACTTTTAAAGTACATATGTTGAATTTTTTTAAAAAGATATGGTAGTATACATGTGTAATCCCAGCATTCTGGGAGGCTGAGGTATGAGGATCGAAAGTTTGAGCCCAGCTGAGACAACTCAGTGAGACCCTTTCTCAAAAAATAGAATAAAATAGGGGCTGGGGATTTAGCTCAGTGGTTCTGCTGCCTGCCTTGCAAGTGCAAGGACCCGAGTTCGATCCCCGGTACCAAAAAGAAAAAAAGAATAAAATTTAAAAAGGCTGGAGATATAGCCCAGTGTAAAGGGCCTATAAGATGATGATGATGAAGATGATGATGATAATAGTAAAAAGGAAGATAAGGAGCAACAAATTTGCAGATACCAATTGTAAAAGATAGAAGATACATTTTATTTCATTCCATATCATTATTTTATTTCATTCCACATCATTATTTTATTTCATTCCACTGTGGATGGTCTCACTGTGTGTCTTAATTCTCTTTGTAGTTGAAACCTCAGGAGAAGATGTTCTTCAAAAGCCCTGTGGAGACAGCTTTGCAGTATTTTAGTCATATCTCTCAGGTATACGAAACAAAAGTTAAGAAAATAGGATTTTCTGAGTAAATTCTAATTGCATCTTTTTTTTTCTTCTTTTTTTTTTCTAATTGCATCTTATTCCTTTGTCAAAGGTTCTCTTTAGGCTGTGTTTGTAAACAATGGAGAGAAACTACTCTATTTGCTTTCTTCTTTAATGATGGCAGTCTCAACCAGTTAGCTTTTTACTGACCTAAGATCTATGATAGCCTATAATACTGCTATGTAGTTAAATTTTGTCTTGTACTTCCTAGTTCCACTAATTCCAAGACAAAAGGATGCCCTAGGAAGCCTTATCATCTTTCTGGGCACCCTCTAAAAATTGCCTGCATAGGACCAGGGATTTAGCTCAGTGGTTTCACCACCTGCTGCGCAAGCACAAGGACCTGAGTTCAATCCCCGGTACCAAAAAAAAAAAAAAAATTGCCTGCAAATTGCCTGACCCTGCAAACAGTGGATGTGGTAATTTAACTCTTAACTTTTTGCTTACAGATCTAAGTTCATTAAAGTGTGTCTTGTTCTTCATTTTTTATTTTCAAGTTTTACTTTCTAGCAATGTTTAATTCTTAGAATTCACAACTGGTTGCCTGAATTTTAGACAATATTTGTATTTTCCTGATGCCACATATATTGGTAAACCATTGACTTGGTCAGCAGCAGTAAGGGTGTAGAAGAAGATAGAGAGAAGGCAGGACATTCATGTGAGAGAGTTGTCAACTTGTAAACGCTTTGTGTTTTTTCTTCTTTCCATTCTCTAGTTCTCTGCTGAGATTATTATATAGCCTCATAAGATTCCTGTCTTGGCATATATCTTCAGATTTTTATCACTGCTCTTTTTCTTTACTCTTCTTATTCATTTTGTTTTCAGTGCTGGGGATCAAACCCAAACATGCTAGACAAGCCCTGTACCACTGAGCTACAACCCCAATAGCTCTTATTCTTATGAGAGTACACCTTTTCTAAACAGAAAGTGATACTTAATCATTTTCTGGTTGAAGATAGTAGATTGATTGATTGATTGATTGATGTATTTTCCCTTCTAGTCCTAACCCTGGAGTTAGAATAAAAGGAAATAAAGCTTAGGCTGCATCTTGTCTGTAGCTGCTTAAGTGAACCATCATATTTGAGATACTATGTTTAACATTTTGAGGAGATAAAATCCAGCTGAGACACAAGAAGAAATATTTAAAAAGATCACCCGAACAAGAGAAAGAGCAGGTCTTTGGTTAATAACTAAACACAGGGTTAGTTAATGATCAGTAGAAAAATTATATGTAGTCTGAATCTTAACCTGCCTAATCACAGGATCAATTACACATGGTCAAATAGTCAAGATAAAGTAAATAGAAATGTTTAGTTAATCATCACTTTAGTGAAGGGCCAGTTTGGTGAAGTCAGCAAAGTCTGAAAAATGTATTTTTCTAATCTGTGAAGCTGAGTAACTGCAGTGTAATACCCAAGTTGCTTCATTCAGCTCAAAACTATCTTCCTCAGTCAAACATTTACTAACTCTGATATCTCAAAGTAGCCCCAATGTTCTTTATTCTTTCCCCTACTTTATTTCTAATCATAGCTCTTAGCCTTTCATATTATATTATGTATGTGTTTATTGTCTGAATCCTATACTGAAATACAATTTCATTTGTTGGTCACTTTGAATACTTCCTAACATATACTGTATGCTCAAGACATTGTCATTAAATGAATCAGTGGATTGCCACTCTAAATATCATTTGCATTTTTTTTTTTTTTGTACCAGGGATTGAACTTGGGTCCTTTCGGCGGAACCACTGAGCAAATCCCCGGCACTCATTTGCATTTTAACTATTCCCAATCTTTGTAACGACCTGACAAGGGCATTTTTCTGTTATACTCTCTGCCTATAGTTGGTCAAGCTGCCTATTTTGGATTTTTTTTCTTATGGTACTGGAAATTGAACCCAGAGCCTTCTCACTGAAGTATATTCCCAGCCCTTTTAAAGTTATTTATTTATTTATTTATTTTTGGTACTGGGGATGGGGATTGAACTCAGGTCCTTGTGCTTGTGGGGCAGGTGGTAGAACTACTGACCTAAGTCCCCAGCCCTAAAATTTTTTATTTTGAGACAGGTTCTTACTAAATTGCTAAGTTGCCCAGGCTGGGCTTGAACTTGTTCTCCTTGTCTTGGTTTACAGAGTACTGGGACTACAGGCATGCACCACCTCACCTGGCCCACCTCTAGATAATTTTTCAAAAGGAATAGAGATCTTCATATGGACCTGTTAGCTTTCTTCTACTCCTAGATAATACTCTGCCTAATTAGCCATTTCTGAAATGCATGCTGATAATCATTCCCTTTTTGGTAAAAGCTTTCCCAGATTATCATAGGCAGAGTTTTGCTGTCTTTTGTGTTCCATCCTATATTGTTTTTAACTCTACAAAATACTTAACTGTGGAAAGAAAGTGATTTATTTTATTTGTACATCTGTTTTACTCACTGAATTATGAGTTTTTCAAAGGCAGATTTTTTTGTAACACTCAGTGTCTAACTTGGTATCTGACACAAATTAGGTGCACAAGAAATGTCTGTAAAATGAACACAAATTGTCGCTGGTTAGAGGAATGTGAATCAAGATAAGATCAGAGAAGGAAGTACTTGTAGGCTATGGCAAGGAGTTCAGATTTTTTTCTAAGTGCAGTAGGGTACCACTGAAAGGTTTTGTAAAGGAAATGGCAGTATGGGGAAAATGGATCATAAAATGGTTAAGAATAGAAGTAGAAAGACCAGTTAGGAGGCTACTGGGAAAATCTAACCAACACTGCTTGGCCTGAAGTGGTAGCAGTAATGTGCTTAATTCTGAGATATGTTTTCCAGGAAGAACTAGTAGAATTTGATGTTTATTTGGATGTGGGTAATAAGAAAGGAAGAGGAATCAAGGAAGATCCTTGGGTTTTTGTCTTGAAGAGTTTAGTGGGACTGAGTGTACCCTTTGCCAAATAGAGAAAACTGTTGTGAGGAAAAATATAAGTTTGGACACATTAGGTTTTAGATGCTTGATAGAAATACCAATGGAGAAATCAGGAAGGCAGATTAATTTACCATTCTAGAGCTCAGAATATAGGACAAGACTGAGATATAAGTGTGGAACTCATCAGGATATAGATAGTATTTAAAGCCTTGAGAAGAGGTTGGTGGTTTAGCTAAGTGGTAGAGTGCATACGTAGCATGTCCAAGGCCCTGGCTTCAATCCCTGGGAACAAAGAAAGAAAGGAAGAGTGAGAAAGGGAGCCATCCTTGGGAATAGATGAGATCATTTAGATTCTAGACAGAGTCCCTTTAGATGTAGCCATTAAGTGGAGAAAGAGAAGTTGGCAAGGAGCTGCAATCAGAGAAGTAAAAACAATGTGGTGTCCCAGACATATGGGTTATATGTAGATGTCCTCTAAAAGACTCATGCACTCTTTTTTTAAATTTCAGTTTTTATTAATACATGTTTGTAGTACATAGTGATTACATTCCTCATGGGGAGTTGGTACATGTATATAATACGTCTTAGTTTTTTTTATCCCCTTCCCCTCCCCTCTCCCCCTTCCCTCCATTTCTTGATATCCTTCCCATTTGAGAAAGATCTATCTCCCTACTTTCTATTATCTTTTATTTTACACTTTATTTATATATTGAGTTTTTCATATAAGAGAAACTATGCAATATTTAAACTGTGTGTCTGATTTACTTCATTTAACATTATGGTCTCAAGGTGCATCTTAAGTGGGGCTTTTGAAATGTTACTGAATCATAGGGGCAGTGTAGCTAAATGTGATGTTAGGAGGAGGGCCTGGTTGGAAAAGGCAGTCACTGGGGGTATGACTTGAAGGATAAAGCTCCCTCCTCAGATAATCCCTTCTTTTGCTTCCTGGCCGCCACAACATAACTTTCCTCTGTGCCAGGCCCTTCTCCCACACCATCAAGCATGCAAGGACTGAAACTTCTAAACTTTGAGCCAAAATAAACCTCTCTGTTAAGTGTTGGATGTTAGGTATTTTGTCCCAGTACAGAGGAAAGTGATTAAGACACAAACCAAGGAAGGAAAGTGTTTCAAGAAAAAATTATATAATCAGCTGGGTCAAATGCTGTTGAGAGATGAAATAAGATGAGGACAAAGCAAGGTCAATCAGATTTGGCAGTGTGTTGGTTTCCCTCATAAGAGCACACAGAATGGAGTCTTGAGGAAGAATACTACATTAGAGTACACTGATGGGTGTCTGTCCACATTCAGTCTGCTTTTTTACTTCCCAAATCTCTCCACAATCCTCTGAAGCCCAGCTTCTGTCTCACTGAAATTGCTCTTGCTGAAGATATCAGCAGCATCCTTATTATCAAATCCAGTGGATAATTGTTATTCTTCTTTACATATTTGATCTCTCAGCAGCATTTGAAGTATGATCTCCTGCCTTGAGTCATTATTCGGCTACCATAACCAATGTATTTTCTTTTGGGGTTCTGTTGTAATCAGGGTTTGCAACGGAATAGATTTAATACAGGACACATAATTTATAGGACTATTTTATAATAGTCACCCAAAAAGTCAAAGGCAGAGGAGTACAAGAGATCTGTCCACATGCTAGAGACCCGAAGAATCCAGCTGAGGGCCCAGATCCTGTAATGTCCCCCATGAGTCTAGCCAAAGGCCTAAAGCCCATGGCAGTGTCCTCCACGAGTCCAGCTGGAGGCCTAGAGCCCATGGCAATGTCTCATGCAAGTCTGTATGGACGACCTGCATTAGGCCAGTGGTGGAAGCCAGAAAGTCTGCACTGGCTGGGTGAAGGGTCTGTGCCATCAGGCTGAGGGAACTGCACTGAAGTCAGGAAACAACACTTAAGGCAAAGACCATAGCTCCCCTGGAGAAAACAGCAGTGAAAGCCAGGACCTGTGCTCCTCTGAGGATGAGAACAGCCGAGTTTGTGTCAGGAAAACTAGCTGCAGCAAGCTTCTCCAGGAAAATCAACAG